CCCCCCCCCCCCCCCCCCCCCCCCCCCCCCCCCCCCCCCCCGCAAGCTCTGCAACAGCTCAGCCCACATCAGGACGGAGATCAATGCCCGTCATAAAGCGTTTGTCTTCCTTGGATCAGAGAATTCAATCTCCAGGGACTGCCTAAGCTTGTGGTTTCCCATCCCTGCTTGCCATCATCCTGAGAGGTCTGTCCATCTGTCCAGCAGCCATAGATCACAGTGCAAGGCTTCGGCGAGGGCACTGCATTCCGGGCAGGCATCACCATGGCTGCTGCCACTGTGGCATCCGCGTTTCCTAGCTGTGTGTTTCCGAGACTGCTCTGCTCAGACTGAGCTCTTATTTCATCCCTGTCTCAGTGCAGGCTCACCACGTGAGACGAGGTGAAAGTGGCAATCTGCTCAGTGCCGTTGCCTGTCCCCGAGGCCGGGGGCCCGGAAATGTACTGGTACTGGTTACTGAAAATAACAAAATACTTTATGCACACCCGTCTTCATGGAAAACAAATTTGCCGGCCTTCTTCGTACTTGATTGACAGGCTTTGTTATTACTGTCTACTCAGTGCTGGTCTTCAAAGCCTGGAGAACAGTATAATGTTTGTTTTAAGTTCACCTGTGCTTTCCTGGTAGAGTGCGTTTCTGTTCTCTCATATAGTGCACTGCTACCCAGCTACTTTATTCTTCCACTGTCTTAAACTTAAACACTGCCAAGGCTACTTAGCCGACTGCTCTGGCTGTGATGCCCAAGTGATTCAGGGAAGCACACGAATGAATAAGAAAAGGAGGCAAATGTGTACAATAACAGCCCAGAGAGAGGCAGCGGGCCCCACACGTGTCCTTGCTCAGGGCCAACTCCTGTCACCACTGCCGCCCTCTGAGGGACTCCTCTGGAAGGCTAGTGAAGGAAAATAGTGGACGTAAAAATGCCAGGGAAGGTGCTGGAGATGGAATTTAATGTGGAGCATCCCGGGCGTTGGACCTCTGTGCTCCGCCACCATGGACGGAGGGCTCGGTGATGGACTGCTGGGGAGGCGTGTTCATTTCAGGTTAGGTGACCTTGTCTGCCTTATTTATGGGTATTATTAAGAGAAATGCTGGCTGTCAGGTGTGACCAGCGTAAATCACAAACAAGGTTTGTTTTTTTTTTAAGAGAAGCCATAAGACCCCCCCAAAGGAAACCCCTAAGTAGACGGCCAGTCCTCCGTCATGGGAGATGTCTGGGATTTAGAATTATGTTTTACCTGTGATCATTTTGCATTTGGAGAGTTGTAACGATTTAGTTGTTTTCCTGCTGAAAAAAGAATTATAATTGTGTTGCTGGGAAATAACCGTGAGCTCTCTGATTCCTGTGTGATATATCTGTAAGAGGGAAAATCATCAAACATTGCTGTGTGTCACCGCCGTTCATGCCCCTTCCTAGATCCACGCTGGCGAACAGCACATGAGACAGGCCTTACAGCGTGGTAGAGAGAAAAGATTAAGCATAGGGTCATAAGCTATTTGACTTTTAATTAGCCTTTCTGGGCCTCAATTTTCTTATGTGCAAGGCCATGATCCTTCTGCTGGGCCCATTATTATTATGAAACTAAAAATAATAGTATGCCATTCTTTCCATAGGAAAACCCTATGTTAATGGACTTCAGTTTTGGCCTCATTTTTAGTCAGTTTCCTGTTACTATAACGTGGTGCCCGAGAGGATCAACTTAAAAAGGAGAAAGGCATATTTTAGTTCAGGCCCTGGGTTCAGTCACGGTCAGCTGACCTTGTTGCTTTGGGGCCAGAGGTAAGGAAGCACATCCCAGCGAGGCATGCGTAGTGGAGCAGTGGTACTTACGAGTGAGAAGGGAGGAAGAGGCTAGATTCCCATAACTCCATCCAAAGTCATGTCCCCAGCGACCCAAGCCCCCCACTATGTCCCACCTCCCAAACGGTCCACCACTTCCCCACAGTGTCACTCTGCAGGCCACACCCTTAAAACACTGATGAAACAGCCACAGTCCAAACTGCGGCCGTTGTTAGACATTGATCAGGCATCCTTCACCCTCCTAGAGCCGGTCACATGGGAGGAGGGGCAGCGTCGTAGTGTTTAAGGCAACCCTGAAATGGCCAGAGAGAGGAGTAATAACTTAATGGAGGAGAGAGAGCAGAGATGCTCGGGGAGCCTATAACTCAGGCAGCAGGAGGAAGCTTTTTACCATAGGCAAGTTCCTGCGAGTCAAAGCAGCCGAAGATGGCTGGGCGGGAGAGGAGGGGGAGAGAGGCCTGGTCTTGAAGGATGCTGCTGCTTACACAGGCAGATAGAGTGGAAGGCTCTGCAGTCTGAGAAAACAAACCACAGGAGCCCGGGTTTGGAGCAGTGAGACCATGACCTGTCTGCAACATAATGGGGTTCATTCAAGGGAACATTCTTTCTTAAATTTTTTAATTATCATTTATTACAATTTATTCAATTTGTATCACGGCTGTGGCCCCCTCCCTCTTCTCCTCCCAATCCCACCCTCCCTCGCTCTTCTCTCCCTATGCCCTTCCCCTAGTCCACTGATAGGGGAAGGTCCTTCCTCCCCTTCTCTCTGATCCTAGCCTATCAGGTCTCACCAGGACTGTCTACATTGTTTTCCTCTGTGGCCTAGCAAGGCTGCACCCCCCCCCCAGGGGGAGGTGATCAGAGAGCCTGCCACTGAGTTCATGCCAGAGACAGCCCCTGTTCCCCTTACTAGGGACCCACTTGGAGACAGAGTCTATGGGCTACATCTGAGCAGGGGTTTTAGGCCCTCTCCATAACAAAATCTATACTCCTAAAGAAGCTAAACAACAAGGAAGACCCTAGGGAAGATGCTCAATCCTCATTCAGAAGGACAAACACGATAGACATCAGAAGCAGGAAAAGACAGGGAGCAGGACAGGAGCCTACCATAGAGGGCCTCTGAAAGACTCTACTGATCGAGGTATCGAATCAGAGGTTGAGACTCATAGCCAAACTTTGGGCAGAGTTCAGGAATCTTAAAAAAGAAGAGGGAAATAGAAAGACCTGGGGAGAGGGACAGGAGCCCCAAAAGGAAACCAAGAGAGACAAAAAATGCGGGGCCCTGGAGAAAATGATACCCTGACCAAGGTCAAGGGAGCATTCTTAATGAGCACAGTGAGAGCCTAGAAAACATAAACCCAGGTGATGTCATCCCTTGAGCATGTGGGCAGTGTAACAAGAACACACGGGCACATCCTGTACAGCTCTGCGGAGCTGTACTGAAGGCACCTGGTGTAGCACAATCAGCAATGGAATTAGTATAGACTCTCTAGAGGAACTTCTATGAGTAGATTTTCATTGATTCTTCACAGTTCATAGACAGCCTCTTGTGGTAGGCAGCACAGAACCGTGTAGCCTAGAGCTTTGAATTAGAGTGGAGATAACTTGGCCAAACAGAGAACAGTGCTCTTCAAGCCAGTGGGCATCTGAGTCCCTAACAGGATGTAAATCATTACTGTACTAGCCCAGCCCCCTCCCTCCTTAACGCTGCCACACTCCTCTGGATCACACTTCACTCAGCCTCCCCCCCCCCTTGACTTGATGGGGAAGTTTGAGAATTGACAGGGACCTTGCTGTGAAGGTGGTTCAATCCCCCTGCAGGGGGCCTGGCCTGCTGCCACCAGCATCTGGAAACCTTGAGGCAGAGGGAGGGGCTGCCCAAAGAAAAGCCACCCAGGGGAGGCATGGGGGTCCTAAGCTATGCCCACACCTGGGCTAGCCTAGCCATGAGCTTCTGCAAAGCCTGCTTGGTATCCAACCCTGAAAGGTGCAGCGTGCCGTGGGGGACCGCTGATTTATTCTTTGGTTGGTGGTTGGCAGCACAGCCCTAAAATGGGGCTCCTGTTTCTTATCTATATCTTTAGCGTATATTATTCCATTGGTGATAGATGCTTTAAATATTGAGTGTAGTCTACTCTTCTGGGTTTCATTTGTCTGTTGCTGGTTTTTGTCTGTTGCTTGGTTGACTTGGTTTTGGTTTTGGTTTTGTACCAAACATGTATCTTCCCGTCTCTTAATATTGGGCAAATGAATTGAGCCCCAGGGAGACCAGGTCCATTCCCCAGTACTGCACAGGTGTCTGTGGCTAAGGACAGGACTAGGAGCATCCCAGGTTGGCTCTGCTGGTCACCAGGTTCCCAGGTGTGCGGCCTGATTTTGTTTCAATGGGATCAAGAAATACAGTGGCTGTTTCTTGGAATCAGAGGAAATGAGCTGAAGGTTGCCAGAGTACTTCTAAGAGACTCACCTTAGACACAGCTGACAAAGAGAGATCCTGAGAGAACCTATTGAAAGGACTACGATGAAAGAACCTCACCATAGAAGGGAAGGACCAGGCTGAGGGAAACTTTTTGAATATATGATCAAGAGAAGAAAGAAAAGGAACTGGCTCGCCGAGACACAGGAAGCTTCTTGGAGTAGGTCCCTAGAGGTGATGATGACCTAGGAGGTCCCTAGAGCAGGTGATGCCAGGACCTGGAGTACAGAGGGAGAGTTACAGAGCATATGAAGTGGGCCAGGCTGTGCCAGGAGGGACCTGGGTGAGCCCTGGCAAGACTCTGCGTCTCCATCTAGAGCAGCGGCTCTCCACCTTCCTAAGGCTGCAACCCTTTAACGCAGTTCCTCATACTGTAGTGACACCAACCATAAAAACCATTTCTGTTGCTACTTCATAACTGTAATTTTGCCACTGCCAAGAATCGTTACTGTAAATGTCTGTGTTTCAGATGGTCGTAGGTAACCCCTGTGAAAACATCGTTTGACCCCAAAAGAGTTGCAACCCACAGGTTGAGAACCACTGATCTAAAGGATTGAAAAGTTCGGTCAGACCATTGTAACAGACTATACAGTCTCTCTCAGTGTGTGTGTGTGTGTGTGTGTGTGTGTGTGTGTGTGTGTGTGTAGGTCACAGTTCACATGTGGAGGCCAGAGGACAACTCTGTGGAGTTGGTTCTCTCTGGGAACTGAACTCATGTCCCAAGCGTGTAAGGCGGCAGCTTTACCCTCTGAGCCACCTTACCACCACCCTTCAGGATCCTTCTGACTGCGGTCAAGTAGTACTCCATGTAATTTTGGTATGCGTTTCTCTGGTGGCTGATGGCACTCCGAATTTTCCTGTATTTGTCGGCCATTCAGCTTTTGTACTCCCCCAGTGACCTAACTTCCTGCCACTAGGCCCAACCTTCTAAAAGTGGTTCTTTGAACCTCTGAGAGTGCCGCAGGCCAGCAACCAGTTCATGGCTATTTATACATGGTCTTCAGCAAATACTTAACACCACTGGGGAAATAATTTGTTATCCAGTTTTCTTAACCTTATAACACAGAAAAATATATGTATATATAAACATATATATGTATGTATGTATACATATGTGTATGTATGCTTGCTTGTATAAATACTTTGTTTATGTAAATGTATATATATGTTTGTGCATATATATGCATACATATACAAACATATATATATATATATATATATGAAATAAGGAATATTAAGACTAGAAAGGTAGCTTATTTAGTAAAATGCTTGCCACATAAGTATGAGGACCTGAGTTCAATTTCTAGAACCAACCTTAAGGGAAAAAAGGAAGGAAGGAAGGAAGGAAGGAAGGAAGGAAGGAAGGAAGGAAGGAAGGAAGGAAGGAGAAAACAAAGGAAGGAGAGAGAAAGTACAGAACAGGTCAGGTGCTTGTAATCTCGGTGCTGAGGCCGCAGAGACGAGTGGATTGCTGGGGTTTGTTGGCCAGCTATAGCCTGCTCAGCAAACTCCATGCCACTGAGAAGGCCCCACAAACCAAGGTGGCTAATGCCACCGCACACCTGTCCACATCTGTGTGAGAACCTGCACCCACACATGAACCCCCACACACTCCTATACACACACACACAGGGAGGGAGAGAGAGAATACTGAGACTTCAAGGAAAACTCTCTGCTATCTTTGTTCCTGTCTCATCTCCTGTGGGAATTAAATGAGATGCTTTACATACATCAGGCAGGATTAGGCTTGTCTATAGAGAAAAGCTCCATAAGGATGGCAGAGCACTCTTCTGCTGCGTGTGAGGCTAGAGGCTCCATTCCTACCCCACTACACACACACACACACACACACACACACACACACACACACACACACAGAGAGAGAGAGAGAGAGAGAGAGAGAGAGAAGGATAACTGATCATGGGTTACAGCTTGCACTCTTGGTTACAGCTCAGAAGAAAGCTTCTTGAAGAGCTTATGACATTCACCATTTACAGTGATCCTCCAGGCAAACTCTAGCACCTGGTTCCCCTAGCAAGGATACCTCTGACTTCACCGGAACACCCAGCCCTGCTGGAGCTGTGGCAGCCTGACTCTCGGCTTGCCTGTCTACTCTTCCAAGCTAGGGCTGCTTGGAGGGTAGTGGCTCTAAAGGTCAAGCAAGGACTTTGCTCATCTTCAATGCATGAAGCAAATGGGCTAGGGGGGCCAGAGGGGCGGTGGGAGACTGGACGAGCACATGCGCGGGTCCTGAAGGGGGATGCAGTCCATTATGACCACAGCTAACGAGGGGTGTTCATCAGGACCCTAGGCTAGCCCTCACATGCAAGTTCACCAGCATCACTTGTGGCTCTCCCTGCCTTAGGTTCCCAGAGACGGAGGCTCATTCCAGCATTGACCCTTGACACCCCGTCACCTGTGAGAAAAACTGCCAGCAGCACAGGGGTCCGCTGGGTGGACGGCCCCCTGAGGAGCACCCAGAGGGGCCTTGGGGAACCATTCGAGATTAAAGTCTATGAAATTGATGACGTGGAGCGCCTGCAGCGGCGACGAGGGGGCACCAACAAGGTGAGGCCACTTCCTCCCCGGGGGTCACGGTTCCCTGCAGATCCTGCCCTAAGAAAAGTCTTCCCAAGGGCCTTCCCAGGTTTCTGGTCTGAGCAGTGGGTCATGAAGGGGCTCTGGGCCCAGCCACAGATTTTGGTAGGTGCTGTGTGCTCCTTTTCTGGAGCCAGTTAAAAGCTAATGAGATGGAGCCTGATGGGCATGGGGACTCTTTTGGCACCTTGCTTTGAGGTTTCACACACTAGGGGGCACCTGTCATAGTCTCCCTAGAGTTGGGTGTCTGACGAGGTCACCAAGCCCCCTACGATGCTTATTGGAGTCTGAGCTCTTCATCTGCCCCTCTGGCAGGCCTGCAGGAGGCTGCAGGGGTGAGTTTGGCAGAATGCCCCTTGCTCTTCTTCCTCTCTACTGCCCTCCTCTTCCTCTGTGCCCAGGAGGTCATGTGCTTCAACGCCAAGCTGAAGATCCTAGAGCATCGGCAACAGAGAATCGCTGAGGTCCGAGCCAAGTACGAGTGGCTGATGAAGGAGCTGGAGGCGACCAAGCAGTACCTGATGCTGGACCCCAACAAATGGCTTCGAGAATGTAAGGCCCATTGGCACGTGCCCATCCTTGCTCCCACTGTGCTGTCCGGTAACACAACCTGGGCGCCTACCCCAGGACCACAGCCATGTAGACTGTGTGCGTCTGAGGCACAGGGCCCATGGGATGGAGATGTCCTGCAGGTCAGCGATCCTTCCATCGAGGCCAGCCAAGAGGGGTAGTGAGAGTAGGATGCTTTCTCCTGTGGGTCTCGGTTCAAAGCACCCAAAAGGGAAATTTATTATCTTCCCTATACTTGGCAGGAAGGCTCTGCACTCATTTTATCTAGCCTAAAATGGACCAGAACTGGAGATCTCTTGATAGACTAGAATGTGCCACCCACAAATTGCTCCTGGGGACCCCCGGAAGTCCAAGGACCATCTCCGGAGTTATCTCCATTAAGCCAAGAGCCCAGGTGACGGTAACCATGTGATAGCTACCCACAATGATGCTGCTGTTTTTGAGAGATAGATTGGATTGTCCCTAATTTATTTGTTCCTGGCCATTCCATTTACTGCAAAATAAGGCTGCACTCTGTTCCGGCTAGTGCATGGATACAGGACTGATTCTGTAAGACTTTGTCCATGGTTTATGTACATCAGCAGCATTACAAATACTCTCTCCCCAACTTTCCTGCCCAGCTCTTCCCTCCAACCCTCAGCTGCCTGCATCCCTCTTGTGATATCGTCACACACACACACACACACACACACACACACACACACACACACACACACTGTGCTTCCTACTGGTGAGCTTAGAGAGCTGGTTTGAAAACAGAGTGGAAATGATAGCAGTAGGTCAGGGCCAGGGTCTACCAGCTCGTGCCCATGCTTACCACCTTCATACTGTCTTGCTCTTGGTAGCTCAGAGAGCAGAGAACCTTGCTACTTTGGGGTCGCATGGTCTTTGGCTCTGCTCAAGTTCCCACAGACCTGATTTCAATGCTGGCTTTTGCTCTACTCTGGCTGCATGGCTTTGGCTAAGGTGTTTGACTCTCTGGGTCTCAGCTTCCTTAACTGTAAAAGAGAAGAGTGGCCGTGCCCACTCCACAGGGTGGCTCCAGGCTGTGGTGAGTGCCTACATGGCCCAGAGGAGGAGTCTGGCATCTGGGGATAGATGTAGTTGTCCCACGGTTCAGTCAACTAGATAAGTGGACACTTCCTCAGCGCCTGCTTGCATGGTAGATGGTGAGTTCCTTGGTTGGAAATCTGGGCAAAGACAAAAAGTCTCCCACCAACGGTACTTTCGTCTCAGGCAGAATGAGAGCACCACAGGAACGAGGACATAAGCTAAAATCTGACTGAGACGTAGACAGCTCCATGCCTCTTTCTCCTCTGCTGGCTCCTGCTTCTTTCACAGACCCCTGGATCTTTCCTGGTTGCAGAGGCATCCCTTAGGCAGCACCCCCATTTTCACTATCTCCTTAGAGTTTTATTGTTCAAGAGCAGTTTCTGCCCAAGGCAGGCTTGAAAATGATCTTTATTTTCCAAACTCACATTTTTTTTTTTTCTGGGATGTGAATGAACTTACACATCCCTACCCATGGGCTTCAGATGCTTGGAGGGGCAATTACGCTTTTCCTGCCTTGGTAGGTACATGTCAAGAGACTGTAGTTTTTTTTTGTTTGTTTGTTTTTGTTTTTGTTTTTTTTTTGATGCTGAGAAAAATAATGAATAGAAGGTTACATGATGAAAGGAAAGAGTGCTGATTTAAAGAAAAATACATTTAAAACAGGAGTCAAGGAGGCTGCGTGCTAAATCCCCCTAACGGGCAGCAGCCAGTGCTATAAGGGCGATGTGCTGGGGTCCACCTCCAGTTATAGTTTTTCCTCCTTCCGCCTCTTTACAGTGGGGCCTGTGATGGTGCCTGATGTGCTCATGGTAGGGTAAGGCTCTGATTTCAGCACACTGGGTCGAGATGCAAGGCCCGGGCTTGTTTCTAGCCGCAGTCCTTATTAGCAATATAACCCTGAACAAGGACCCTTTCTGACTACCTCCACAGCAGCCCCTGTAAAAAGAACTTCCCTCCATGACAGACCCTCGTGTGTTTCTGTAACAGGTATGGTTTTGCACATTCGTCCCATTTGTCTTATGTTATTCTCGTCAGTAACTCGAGGTGGGTAGGAGAAGGGGAGGGATGCCTTCACCTCCTCCTCTTGTGCGGATGTTAAGAAAACAATGCCAGCAGGAAGTACTATCCGGCTGGGAATCCTGCTAGGCTACCCGCACCCATCAGTTGCTGTCCATGCTGTGCATGGACCCTTTGTAGCACCCCTAGAATTGGGATCAGGCTGTCTACCACTATTGCAAGCCATCATGGGACAAAGGGACCCAGATCCCTGCCCCTCAGGAAGGGAATGCACATTGGTACTGTGATAGGCCTGACCCCGATGCAAGACATTATGGCCGTATGGCTCAACTTGTCTTTTGAACCCATGGGGGTGTCTTAATTATTAGGGCTTGTTTTTTAGACATCATGTTTACCCCCAGTGACCACAGAATGAGACTGGTGAAATTGGGTCAGGTGATAATTCATGCTGACCACCTCATCTCTCTCAAGAGGAAGAGACAGGAGGACCAGGAGGTTAAGGCCAGCTTCAGCTACACTGAGAGTTAGAGGCCAGACTGTGATACAGGGGACCCTGACTAAGAAACAAAAACAAACCAACAAACCAAAAGAGGCAGAGTGAGGATTCCCAGCCTGAGGGGACAGCGACACCTAGCCCGGGAACGAGAACCTGCTTTTTCTAGAGAGGTGGACATGCACATCGCTTAGGTGGCATCGCTCTTGAAAGTGGGACTCTTGCTGCCACAGTGCCCAAGGGCTACTTGCCTTGGTTAACAAAGGGATGGAGTGGGGGACCCCACAAATCTGTGTTGGAGGCAGCTAGGGCAGGCATGGGGAGATTCAAGACCTCGCCCCTGTTCCTTCAACCTGTCTCTGCGTGTTACGGACTGGAAGCCACGATGGGTGTGTCTTTCCCTGGCAGATGCTGAGGACCAGGCAGGAGGGGATGTTCAGAGGACCTTAGCCCAGAGGAGGTGGGGAAGGGAGCTCTTCCTACGGGTAGCGTTCCCATCTCCAAGAGCTCTTTTCTCTTCCAGTTGACTTGGAGCAGGTCCTGCAGCTGGATTCCCTGGAGTACCTGGAGGCACTGGAGGGCGTGACAGAGCGCCTGGAGAGCCGTGTCAACTTCTGCAAGGCCCATCTCATGATGATCACCTGCTTTGACGTCACCTCCAGGCGCCGATAAGGACCGGTGGGCTCCGAGCCATCAGTCCCTCACTCCCCAGGACTTCAGCAGGACACCGCCCTCCCAGGCCCTCTGTGCTGGCAACGCTCAAGACACTAGGATGAGGATGAAGGTTGGTGGCAAGTCTGGAGTGAGCGTGGAGCGAAAGGCGATGTTTCCTTTGTTTTCTGTAGGGAAGAAAGGTACAGACCCCAACATGTGGAAGGAGGAGATGATGGGAAGCCCCGTAGGACTGAGAAAGCACTTTGAGGAACCTTGAAGAACTGTACATAAGGACTGCTAGCAAAGAGACTCTTACCTTGTGGTTGTAAGGAAGGGGAGGGTGACGTGGGGTTGCCATTGAAAGCGAAACACCAACAAGATGACCCAGAATGGTGGATTAAGTGCCTTGCAAATCTTTATGATTACCCAAACATTTGTTTTCGTACTTTCTTGTGTCCAGATGGTGCTAGTCAAGAAGAAATCAACAAAACAGAAAACTCAACCCAGTTTTTTGAAATGTATTTACGGCTTGTTTTCTCTTGTTTCTGATTTGCTGTTTGTTTCTAAGAAGTTATGTCTGTAGTGATGTCTCCGAATTGGTATTGCAACTGAATAAATGTTAACCGTCTTTCATGGCTCTTCTGGTAAGGCCACTCAGAACGTAGAAACTGCATTGGCATGAGCCACTGTGTCCCCCAGAGAGGTTTGGAAGGGCAGGTGATGGAAGATGCCACCTTCCATAAGCCATAGGTCAGCTGGGAGACCCGGGGTGGAGCACAGAATGGGTGCGCATGAGTTTAGCGGCAAGGAGAGGTGTCTTTAAAGGGAAGGGGGTTCTGTGTGACCTGGGCCCCTGTTCTTGTTTATGTTGTGCATTCATGGCTCTCAAAACAAGCTCATGTTTCTTTCTAGTCCAAAGACTCTGGATGGGAAGTTTGAACAACTGCAGCCTAGTACTGTTTTGTTTTGTTTGTTTGTTTTGTTTTCATGTTCAGTGGTGTTACTGATGCAGATCGAGGCTGTCTGTGTTGAGATTCCCTTGAGTTCACATAGGTATCCATAGGTATCCAAGGAGTCTTGGGGTTGCCTAGCTTCCTGCCAAACAGGAGCCTGTCCAGTAGCAAGGGGCCAGCTCTCCCCTGTTCTAAAGCCTCTGTGCTTGTCCCTGTCACCTTGGTATCCTGAAGCAGGAGAGAGGAACCTCACCCCTAAGTTCCAGAACCCTGGATACACATGGCAGAGTTGAACGAAGGAGACCTGGATCCTTCTAAGTCCCCACACCTACCCCATTCCTGTGCATGCCAAAAACAAAAACTGAGGACTTCATTCTCAAACTACTCCCTTCCCTTAAACCCTTGGACTGTGTTAGCTATATAGGGTGGAGGCATGGAATGGCCAGGCCCTGTCTACAGGCTGCTGGAACAGCTGAGCATCCCACAAGGGCCAAGAATTCTCCTCTGTCTCAGAGCCTCTGCAGCTTGCCTATGCACAGCTGTGCGCAAGGGGTTGGAAAGAGGACTCAGCCTCCTCACCCTCCCCATAGCACATCTGGGCCAGCCCCATTCACAAACTCCTTGACCCAATATGCTCCCCAAGGAGAAAGAACTTTGTGTTTCTGGATGAGCCCTCTCGCTGGACACAGGTCTCTCCCAGCACAGCATGGTACGTGGTCAGCAGAACTCAGCACACAGGGGCTGAAGTCATGTGGGTGCCATGGCACCTGATCCTTTATTTAGAATTGGGCATTGATAAGACCACCAGCTTGACTGTGGTAGAGGTCAGCCCTGTGGGGCAAAGGCTAGCCCCATGGGTCACAAGTCCTGCTCTGCACATTCCTAAGCACTGACTCTTACGCAAAGGGGTTCCGAGCTGCTGGCTGAGTGGCCTAAGCTCTGGAATAGCCCGTTTCCCCCTCTGTCCATCCTAGAGCTTTAACAAGCATGTCTCCTGGGGAAGCGGGCCCTTCCCAGATCTTCTGCAGCTCCTTCACTGTGCATTCTGCAGGAGTTCTGGGCCCAGGGCCCACCTCAGCCTCATGACACATGTGTGCATGGGCTTGCTTAACAGCAATGTTCTCGGAAGCTTCTGGGCCCACAGGGATGCCAACATTTTAAACATCTGTTTTGGCTGCTGGTTTAAAGTATACTTATATGCTTTGTGTTTTCACAAAAGGCCTTGATTTGGGGGAAAAAAAATTTTTTTAAGTGAGCATGCCTGGGTTTCTTTTCCCTGCTCAAGAGCGAATTCATTTGATTAGTAATCCATGAGCCTGGCGTTGGTCCCTTAGCCCTGAGGTCATCCGGCCCCAGTGAATATTTTAGCAGGCCACCAACAGAGCCCAGTGCCTTTGCTGGAGACCATGCTGACACAGCTACAGAGAGCAGACCCTCAGTCAAGCAGGTTCTTCTGGGAGAGTGGCCTCAGTTGTCCACCCCACACTCAGATCTGTGTGCGGACATTCCAAACACTATGCTCCAGTGCCAGTGGCCTGGCCTTGTTACCAAGGTCACGTCACCAAGCCAGGGTAGCTCTCAGGAGGCCACAGCCACATGGCAGGGCATCCCACAGGACCCGACAGTCTGCGGGAGACATTACTGTGAGAGAGCTCGCATCTTTTGTCCATTTTAACATCCTGCCCCCTCCAAAGTAAGCTGCAAACACTTCAGCGTCCTGCATTGCATTATGTGAGCTGCTGAGCCTTGTGGAGGACCGCTGCATCCCAGGATGCACCTGTTCCCTGCCCTGCCTCTGAACTACCTGTGGGAGCACAACTCTTTAGGCACAAACAGGTAGTCCTAGCATCTGAAGACAGTGCCGGTGTGAGGTGGCTCCAGGTTTGGCGTGGAGACAAACAAACAGAAACCACAACAACAACAAACCCGCAAGGGAGCAAAGGGAATGTCCAAGAACTCACTTCTAATTCATTATCCAGCCATAGAAGGACCAAAAGCGTCTCTTTGAAATTAATATTTACCTTTATTTGCCTTACTTAAATTCTGTTCATTCCCCCACAACTCTAGCCCCGCTTCAAAGAATTTAGTGTGAGGCAGAAGCATTTCAGCAGACTAAAACTAAGATTTGAGACAAAGGCATCCTTCTCCCAGGAGGAAACCCTTACTTCATCTCACCCGGGGCTGAGGGACAGGTGTGGCTGCTCCGAGGGAGCCTGAGTTTACTCTGTCTTGACATTTCAATACCCACTTAAGAGTTGGAAGCTTTGATCCTCTCCCTGAGCCCTTCTGGACACCTGAGGAAGCTGTCTCCCACTTAAATCTCAGCAGCATTGAAACTGGCACACCCCTCCTGTGGTTTCATCTCCAGCTGCCATTCTGAACATGGGGGACAGAAGATGAAATTGCAGAGATGGGTCCCCTAGTAGCAGGCAAAGAGCTCCCGAGCTAGAGAATGGGGTAAGGAACATGATCCAGTCCCAGAAAAAGGTCAAAGCGTGGGCCTCAGAAATGCCCATCAGGCAGGAACCTGGTCCCATTTGTCATGAGTCAGTCATAGGCTTGGGGTCTAATATCCAGGAAGGACCGCTTATTCTTCAAAAGGACCAGGTTGTACTTGCTGGAAGGCCTTCCGTTCAAGCTTTGAGCCGTGTAGGTGTGGCTCTCACATCCTGGAGGAACAGCTGCCTTCTCCAGCCTTTGGAGTCTCATGCTCCTCATTAATTTGGGTTCCTACATAAGCCTTCCTCACCAGCTTGCATTTCAAACCTGCTGTCTGCCCCTGACTTCCCATTAGAGAAGGTGCAGTTGGCAAGAGCCCACAATTTGCTCAGTGCAAACAAGGCCTTTGCTGATGTGCTGATCTGAGCTCGAAGTGAATGTTTTTTGGGTTTCCTTACTCCACCAAGATTTCTAGTCTGTGAAAGAAATTACTAAAAATGAGTTCCTTCCAAAATTGAAAACAGATTTCCCGAATGTTGTTCTTTCCTTGGGACATATGCAAAAACATTTCCTCCCTTTTAGGGTAGTTTATCTTTCAAACCCAAAGGCAGGGTCCATTAGAAACAGGTTGAAAATCCTGCATTCTGGGAGCTGACTAAGCCATCCACCATCGCTGTCCCTGGAGTCTCCTGCCACAGCCCAGCAGCATGGCCCAGTTTCCACACTAAAAGGGGTGTGCTCAGTGCTAACACATGTGGGAGAGGTCCACACAGCCCGATCTTCACTCTTCTCTGAGCCAAGTCAAACAGCTGAGGGCAAGTTTCACAGACATGGTCGGTGAATGGTTCTAATTTTTTTTTCAAGTGATAGAAACACTGTGTTCTTTGACATTATATAGAGCGCTGCTCCCCTGGACATTATCTGTAACCGCATTTCAGCATTGCAAAGGTGTTTGTAACAGTGCATAAGTTGGATCCTGTTGCCATCTTCCTGGGGTGTCATCCAGAATACATTTATAAGTGACAAACTGCATTATATCCATCAGAGTGAAAACAGGAATCTAACCCAGGAAACTCTCTTAAATCGAATACGCTCTCTCCAAAAAAAGGGGGGGGAGGGGGAAGTTTGGAAATTCCTAAGAGTTTATTTATCTTGTCCCTAAACCAATGCATTCTACTTCGGGTGGCCCTAGGCAGTGCCTGAGGCGATGTCACAATATTGGACAGAGCCTGGCACACACAGCAGTTCCTGGAGTCACGAGTGTGGAAGCGAGAGTTCCAGTCCCAGGGTGATGCATCTGTTCGGCACACTTAGAATGACCTTACCCAAAGGAGCCTCCCCTCTCCAGCCCCCACACTGCCAGCCTCCTCCACCGCCAGGCTTGATTTATGGAGACATCGTCACTGATTTGTAACTTCGGAATGTTGTCCCATAGCATCACTTGCGTTTCTGGATCCAGCTCTGCATCGGGGACAGGAACGCGCTCCACGTGGTCTTAGTTGAAGTGTGTGCTTGCTCCGTCTGTGTTGGTCTTTTTCCTCTGTTTTCTCCTTACTCCAGCAAAGTCTATTAGCAGAGACATGGTCCAGGGAAGGGAGGGGGGATATGAGATACGGGCAGGGGCGGGGTCCCATCCTCACCTTGCAGAGCCCTGCTCTGCCTCTCATCTATCCCTCTAGTAGGCAGCCAAAAGGACTGAGAAAAAGTTCTTCCTCTCAAGTTGTCATGGGGATGAACTTGGAAATCAGGGTCTGTGGGCCTCAGTTCCAGAGGACCATGCCTCCTCCAGCTAGGTCTCCACACAGCCCCTGGGGAAAGTGCTGACAGTATTAAGTTCTACTCATCCCCAAGGCCCACAGGAGGTCCTGTCTGTGGATAGATGTTGTAGTTACCTGTTCTGAAGAAACCAAAGCACTTTAGTGAGTCTTACAGCCCTGAATACTTACAGCATGTGTCCCCCTGAGAGGCAGAGAGGGCTTGGGCCAGCAGCTAGAGCAGCTAGCGCTAGGAGGGAAAGCCTGGAGGTAGAAGGCAGAGGCCACAGTTGCTGCCATCGCTAGCCACCAACCTTGGGAGGGTCGATGTGTTTGGCTGGGCCCCCTGCAGATGGTTGGGGGGAGGAGGTCACAGAAGCTGTCCCCCACCCCTGAATAGCACAAAAGGAAGGGAAAGGTGTAACTGGCGGGACATACGTTGAAGAATTTAGAAGTTCTCTCCAGAGTAGGGGAGAATCGCAGATAGACGAAGAAATTGACACCGGTGGTCACTGACTGTCCAGGTTCATATGTCTCACTGCAGAGCCGGGACACGAGCCCAGCCACCTGGACTGTCCCTGTCAGACCACCTTGTACCCAGGGTGTGCGCATGAGCACACGCTGCTCCTCTGCGCCAGTGTGTGTACCTATGTGGGTGTGCCTGTACAGGGCTGCGCAGCACCGGTGAAGAACACAGGACGGAAACCCCAAGTCCTAATTCTGTTTTCAACATAGACCTGTCTGTGGCCTGGGACACGCAACCAGCTCTTCCGGAACTCGGATATCCTAAGCTGTAAAATGAGGACATTGTGGTACATGGTCTTTGTGGTTCTTCCAGCCTTGGC